CCTTCAGGATGCTTGTAAGAGTGGCTTCTCCACATGGCCATGAGGGGTCGATCAGGGATGACCACCAAGAAACCCAGAGCAATGTGAGATGGGGAGAAAAATGGACACTGTGAGACCTCCCAGGGACTATCGCTGTCTGAGCGGAGGAAGGGAACTGTCAGGGTCAGGGTTCCAGGGATCTGACTCATGGGGCTTCACACAGAATCAGTTCTCTGTTGGGGTTGTACGATGCCTTGTGTATCAACTTGTCATATTTCTGTTGTCTATAAGGTAACTTTAACTTATATTAGAGCTCCAACATTCCCAAAAATCAGAGAGAGAGGAATCAGTGAAAAATGAACTTGGTTGCCAAGGGAACAGTCTCCTGACTGGACTAAAGATAGTCGCTGAGATGACCTGCACAGCCTTCTGACCATTGAGGGCCAGTAGCAGACCGTGAGCAGAGGAGCAGAATGTCATGGCAGAATTTCATGTAGACCTTTGGACAAGCAGATAGGTGGGTTCAGGGCCAGCGAAGCAAATCGACTCCATTCTCGTCTTAACTGTCAGGCTGCCCCACAGATCAGCTCAGCCGCAGGAAGCTGGGAGCCTCTGGGAAAGCGGGGGAGCCTGAGTCGCTTTGTCACCCTAACTGTGGGTGTGAGAGAATCACAGATTCCCCTCAAAGAATCAGTAGCACCAACGGTAGACGGGCAGCATTGCTTACCGACGCCGCTTAGCAGGAAGAGATATTTAATGTATATCTAGACAGACATTTTTTGTTTGGGTGTGTTTTAAATCTTTTTATTTTGAAACAGTTTCAGACTTACAGAAAAGCTGCAGACATAGTGCAGGGCATTCTTGTATATCCTTTACCATCATCCAGATTCACTTTGCCACATTTGTTTTATTTTCTGCTCCGTTTGTTTTCATCCATTTACCCATCCACTGCTCTATCTACCTACCTATGTATCTATCATCTATCTGTCATCTATCTATCCATACATAGAAAATGTCAGCGATAATGCTCCCCAATCTACCTTCCAGTGAGCATTTCATAAAATCAAGGACATTTTCACATAGAGTACAATGATCAAAATCAAGAAAATAACGTTGATACAGGATTATTATCTAATCAACAAGCCCTACTTAAATTCCACCAGTTGTCCCCTGCTGTCCTTTATAACCAAAGGAAAAGGAATTTCCCCTCAGGCCCAGATTCTGACCCAGGACCACACATCACATTTAGTTGTCACGTCTCTCTAGTCCCCTTTATTCCGGGGCAGTTCCTCAGTCTTCCTGTGTCTTTTATGACTTTGACAGTTTTGAAGCATACGGACCATTTATTTTGAAGAATGTCCTTCAAGTTTATAGATTGGAGTCCTGTATTTTGGTCTAGAATACCATAGAAATGATGTATTCTTCTGGCTGAATCATTTCAGGAGGCATATGATATCCCTTTGTTCAGTAACTAGTGATGTTAATTAACACTGATCACTTAGTTAAGATGGTGTCTGCCAGGTTTCTCCACCATGAAATTACTATTTTTACTTTGCAGTTAATAAATATTTTCAGGGAGTTACTCTGATACTGTGCGTGTATCCTGTTTCTCACCGCCCATTAGTTTTAACATCCATTGATAATTCTTACTTAAAACAACTTCAGCTATGTGGGTTGTCAAATAATTTTCTAGATCCATAATTCTTCCTACCATTTTTAGTCAGCATTCTGCCATAAAGAAGAGCTCTCCCTTCTTATTTATCCATCCATCCATCCATCTGTCCATTCGTCCATCCATCCATTCATTTGTATGAACTTGCGGGTTCTTATTTTATTGTATGGTTTATAATCTATTTAATAAAAATCATTATTTATTTTAAGGTTCAAATTAAACCCTTTGAATCTAGCTGCTGTAAATTGTGACATTCCCAATCATTCAAGTAGTTTCTTATTTTCTAACATTGGAAAATGTCCCAGCCCCACAACCCTAAAACCAGCTCTTTCCTCCAGGTGCCCTAATTCCTTTTACTGGAAAATATTTAGGAACTGAGATCTGGGTGCTGGATGCTGAGTGTGCTTAGAGTGAGTATGTATTCATTTAAACTAGAGAAAGGTAGTCAGGTTTGCCTGTGTTAGCTTGTACTTCATTTTGTATTTCCCTCCATCCTTGTTGGTTTTATGTATTTATGTTATGAAATATCACATGGTTCTAAAGTCTAAATTATAGAAAAATGTATATTTTGAGGAGCGTCACTCCCCCCACAGCCCTTCTACCCTGTCCCAGTCCTTTCCATACTGTTCCCAACCACCATCCATCAGTAACCAATGTCATTAGTTTCTGGTTTATCTTTGTTTCATTTTGCAGAAATAAACTAGTGCATGTATATTTTTTCCTGATTTCTTACCTAAAAGGTACATAATATAAATGCCATCTTCCTTTTTCACACTGGAAATCACTCCATATCAGCTCAAAGAAAAGTTCCTAGTTCTTTTTATAGCTGCATAGTACTCCAGTGTGTTGATGCATTCAGCCGCTCCCTGATGTTTGAGCATATACTTTATTCTTAACATTTATCAATCAATACTGCAAATAATTGCTTTGTATTTTCTTATTTTGGGAGGTGTAAATTCCTAGAGGGGGACTTATTGGTACAAATTGAAAATGCACATTTAATCTTTTTAGATATTGCCAAATATCTCTCCAAAAGGATTGTGCCAGTTGCATCCTTACCATCACAATATGAGGCTGCCCATTTCCCATAACCTTGCCAATAGAACCTGCTGTCATGCCTTTTAATTTTCACCAATATAAGTGAAAAATTATCTCAGTACAGTTTTAATTTGAATTTCTCTATCTTTGAGTGAGGTTAAATATCTTCTCATATGTTTAAGATATTGTGTCTTTTGCCTGGCTGGGTGTGGCTCAGTGGTTGAGCATCGACGTAGGATCCAGGAGATCATGGTTCGATTCCTGGTCAGGGCACATGCCCGGTTGCGGGCTTGATCCCCAGGCGGGGGCCGTGCAGAAGGCAGCTGATCAATGACTCTCTCATCATTGATGTTTCTATCTCTCTCTCTCTCTCTCTCCCTTCCTCTCTCTGAAATCAATAAAGATATATTTA